TAGTCATGAAGGGATGTGGTCAAATAAATTCATCAATACAATTGCCATGGAGTAGTGTAAATGGACCTAAGTTTGCATCAACATTAAAATATCAGATTGCACACGCAATTTTTACTGTTACATCAATAATTGCTAACCTGCTGACTTCAAAGGTACAGAAACTATGGCCACTTACAAAGCACAAAATGTGTATGCATACATTAGTGATGCATTTATGCACATTTTCCAAAACCAATATTTACTAGCCCATTATTTTGTGCAAATTGCATTAACATCGCTGATACCAATATTGTTATGGTCAAAAATTGGTTAGTTTTTCTTTAAAAACAGTAGCACCTTTGCTTTCCTGTACTCCAACTCTTCATTTTTTGGGTATGTTTATTTAATTTTTATGGTTTGTAAATTTGACTGTTCCTATTTCATGCAGATTACATGATGAAGGATGACTTTTATTTAGTTATGAGCATTTTTTTATTTCAATTAGGCAGTACTGCTGTCTCTCTAATTTATGTAACAACACTTGAAAGCAGCACTGGTCAATTAACTATTTATGCTTCTTGGCCATTGGCCACCTGTGCTGCAATGTATGGGGTCAGTATCTCAAACAATGATGTAAAACAGACACAAGTGGTGGAAAGACCACAATTTTTCTTCAACGTGACTAGTGGCACCTACAGAATTGGAGTAAATAGCATCGACTACAATGGCACGATAGTAGAAGACCCTGTATATGCCACTATTTCGATTCACGGTGAGTCATTCTTGCTTTACATATTTATTATGGTAAATTTTAGTGCCGGAGTTTGATGTGTCTGCAAGATTTGTATGTGTCAATAAAACTTTCTTATTTACAACTGAAGTTAGTTTGATTTTTGAATGGTGGGCATTAATTTGTTTTAGAAGCTGGAGGAAGAGGACACTTCAGTGTTGTCATCTATAATTTCGCAAATTAGTATTACTAATCAAAATAATGAAAGTTACACTTACAAAGTAACAATGAAGAATCAGTTTGGGTCTTTGACCAAATATGGAGTTGTTGGTAAGTTTTATATTTATAACTGTAAAGCCCTTTTCACATTTGTCCAAACTGGTTTGATATCAATCCAGCTTCTGATGTTTGCACTTGTGATCGAAGCTCTGAAAACATTTGTGCAAAATTAAATTTTTGCAAGTCTGCATATGAGTAAAAAACACAAAATTTTATTTTGCAAGATAATGAAATTCATACAATAATTGTCAGAACTGCAAAAATTTAATCTGCAAACCAAGTTATTTTTAAGGATTTACAAAATTTTCTCTGCTAAATTAACCAACTGTACGGCACTTATAACTGTAAAGCAGTGCTTCAATATTGGCAGGAGTATAATTGTTGTACTGGTGATTTAGTAGCCATGTGTCATTGAACATGTATGAGAATGAAAAATGGAAAATTGTATATTGGCAGAAGTTCACTGCAAGTAGTCTTAGGTAGCCAGCCTAGTCTTGTGTAGTCATACCCATCCCTTTTTGACATTTTGACGGTCAAAGGGGGATGAGTCTGGCTACACAAGATTAAAGCCAGCCTCTCTGCTAATAATAGAACAGATAACAAATACAATATAATAGAATTTCAAAAATTCAATTTGCGTTTTTAATTTTTGCAATTTTGGTCATATGAAACTTTATTTAATTGATTTGTGAATTAAAAAAAAAAAACATAACAAAGTAAAAATAGATCAATAATTGTTTTTACCACCTTTTATGTACAGCTGACTTCTCATCTTTCTACTTTTCGATGAGAGAAGTTTTTTAGACAGTATCTCTATGTCTCTTGCTGTTAGAAATCTCAAAACTTTGTCCCATGCGTAAGCCGCCATTTTGTTTGTCATGGCCACTCGCACTTAATGTAAAGTGCATGGGTGGATTGTTGCTAAGGCCTTTCTCTTTGTTATTTCTGCAAATACAGTGTGTATAGAAGAAATGTAAGTGTTGACATACAAACAATTATATCGCATGTGGGCAAAATTAATTATAGGAACAGCCCGAAGCTTTGCCCCAGGTCGTATCATCATTATCAATAAACACAACAATTATTAATTACTAATAAAACTTACAAAAGTGATTAAGTGAACCATGTGTGCATGCATGATTACAGAATCTTATTGTACCATTATCACACAAAGTGCATGGACAATTGTAAGAAAGGGCATGCGTGTAATTTTATCTCAATTATTTCTTTAGATACTAGTATATGTAATGACATCAGCACAACAGTGCCTGCATCTTCTCAATCTAACAATGCAATATATGTTGCATCTACTATTACTTTCGCTCTACTCTTTTGTTCTGCTACTGTCTTTATTCTATTGGAAAGATTACGTCGTTTTTGTCCTACTGCATCTTTCTGGTCTTTTATCTTTTGTGATTGTTTGGCTAAAGGTATTTTGTAATCATTGTGTTGTTTTTTATTTACTTTATAATATTATGTAAGTAATAGTTAAGTTTATTTTATGTCTTAAAGTGTATAATGCTTGTACTATGGGTGTGTGCTTCTTGGCATAGCAAATTTTGATGTGCTGGAAGTGTTATAATGCCCATAAAAAGCATGTTTTTTCTAAATTGCTTTGCAAGTTGCTTGACCCAATTTTCTTACGTACTGTTCACATGGCATGTATTACAGGTATGGTGAAAGTCCTGTGATTAAAGAGCTTGCAGGGTCAAGCATCCTGCAAAGCACAGTAGTACTGTTACTCACTTTGACAAAGTGCAATTTCACAAGTAAATCAATGAAGCCTTAGATAAGAGTAGGGCATGGGAGTATAAATTAGATATCTACCAGTCTGGCTGGTGTGATGTGCATATAACAACTTTGAGAAAAGTGATGCCCTCAACCACTTTTCTGGCTGGTGTTGTACATGTACATGTATGTCTATAACACTTGCCAGACAGGTAGCATATTTTTTTGTATTACTGAATAGGACAACAGAGAGCCAAGCCAATTGATGGAGAGGATAAAAAGCAAACTGATATGTCGTCAATGTGAATTTGACATGTGCAAACATGCTGATGCTTTGACATGGTTATGTCACATATTGCATAACGTACATGCAGTAATAATAATTATTATATGTCAATTAGCAGTGTTAGAGGGTTTATTAAAGCTTTTAGCTGTTTTATGTCATTGCTGCTCCTTGTGGTTTACATATTTTTCTTTATTTTCATTACACAGTATTTTTGCTTCTATAGAAAATATTAAATTATTAAAATATTATTGAGTTATTAAAATATTTAATTAATAATATTAAATTATTTAAATATTTTTAAATTATTATTAATATTATCAATTATTATTAAATATTATTAAGTTATTAAAATATTTAATTAATAATGTACCAGTCATTGGTGCTGCAATAGCAACTGAACGTGTGTGTATGTATAACAGTTACATTAGATACGTGCATACATTAACTAACCACTGATGATGGACCCTGCGTCTGGTGATTAGGATATTGTTGGTGTTGAATAACCAAGAGTACATTCAAAGTAGAAACTTATTGCCCATGTAAGGCGTACTTATTGACCTGAGGGTAGATTCATGTGTGACTTTCTGTTAATATAGTGGTTGATAGTGAGGCTGGTTTCCTACATGTAAATACAAAACAGTGAAATACGTAATGTAAGATCTAAACAGATGACATCATTCACAAATTACAAAATTTAAAACTAAATTATCAATTTCATTCAAAGTCAAATTCAACCATTAAACTAACATACAAACGTAAACACAATACAATTATGGAACTTAATTCCTTTTTCCTTAACCATTCTTCTTCCTCTGCTCACGCATTCGCCCTGTAGTATAGACTTTGCTATTAAATTAAAGTTGAAGTAAGTTATCTATATATATATATATGTAGTACTTGCATGATCACACAAAGTGGCAAAAAATAAATCACATGCATTTACAGTAGAAGTCATAAAAAAGTTCACATTTTTGTTCTGTAGAACAATGGTACATCGAAACTGTCGGTACCATTTCCGTTTTGTATCATTTTTACAAAAACTGCAATAAAATGCTAGTGAATCGTTTAGGGCGTGGGCACTTACAGTAGTGGGTGTGGTCTGTAAAATCATTTATTTTGTGTTGGTTGTGTTCTTGGTTCTTTTCCAGCCTGTTTTCTTACTTATTTGTTAGTTCTGCTTAGTGGAAGCCTCCAGTCATCTTCTGGTAACATTATTATACTCAATAACACTGTATACTTTCACCATAGGTTAATTTTTACAAGTATATAAATCAGGGGCGTATCTAAGCTCTGAGAGTTGGCTGGGCACAAAGAAAAAATATGCAGCGCGCGAAGTGTGCCGCGAAAATTTTTTAAAGCTAATTAATATTCATGATGGGGGTGGTCAATTAAATACTACGATTATTACTTTAATTAAGCTAAGATATGCACTTCAGTGCTTATACTTTCTTCATTAGTAGTAGTACTGGCCTTGAGAAGACATTCAAACAGACTCAGCAGAGTTTCTTAGCCATTTTAAACTCGATTACTTTAATAATTAATGTGAATAGTCTAATAACTGATTGGTTCGTAGTAGTTATTATTTAAAAAATGGCAGCCCAATTGCCGAAATGGAGCTATGGAAGTCTCTACCATGTCATCATTATATTTACACTGGCTAAAACTATTAGCTATGCTAGTCTTATCTCGTTGCTATCATAATAAAGGGAGCAATATTTTTAAAAGGACTAATATACAAAAGAAAAAAATTTTTTGGTCTGCTGAGTTGGTCAGGCACAGGCCCACCCAGGCCCACCCTTAGATACGCCCCTGATATAAATTATAGCAAAGAAAAACTTATAGTGTGCGTTTATTTCGTTCTTTATACAAATAATAATAATGCTTTGACTTCAAACGAGTTACTGCTGTCAATCCGTGATGATCTTTTACTCCTACAAGCATCTGAGATGTTGTCAGAGCATATACTATCATTGTCGGAGTGAAATTCTTTGTTTGGATTAGAAGAAGAGTTATGTTTATACAAGATACCTTAAGCCCAACATAAACTATGTAACATTTGTTGCAAACAAAATGTTGCAAGCTCCATTGAAACTGCGTTGCATGCAACAAGTTGCAACATTTTGTAACAAGTGTATGTTGGGCTTTGCATTTGTCTTCGGTTTTCTAAAGCAAAGATAAAAAAAATGGTTTGAGAGGACTCTCAGAGATACAGCCAGAGCAGTTTGTTTCCAACCAGTCAGCCACGTTGGTGGGGCCTGCACCCACGTGCAATTTACTGTGTATTCATATCACTGGCGTATTAAGGAATTAGAAAAGGAGGGTGCGTAAATTCATAGATATTAGAGTTACAGGGATAGGAAACTTCCTTTCATGGGAAATCAAGCTACCTTCCCCATACCGTATTAATTCTTTCTAATTGTCAGTAAATTTCATTTTTACACTGAGCAATGGTGGCTAGTCTGTGATGTTGCAGGTCTTTCTCATTGTCTTTTAGTCAGTTCAGGTCCACTGTATCAACTTGAAAATGAGACACCTACGGTGCATGGCCTCGCCCCTATAGCTGCTATGGTGCATGCCCGCACTTTAATAACTGTTTGATTATCAGCATGAAGAGAGTCTGCTCAACACTAGCTTCCTACAGTTGCACTTGCTCTTGAATACCTGCAGAAGTAGCAGCACTGCAGCACATATATGCATAGATATTAGAGTAAATGAAAGGGATTGGAAACGGGGCGTAGCAACAGGAAATGCTAGTTGGGTTACCACGTGACAACCATCAGTGTTTTGCCATCTCCTCCGTTGCTGAAGTTGCTCTGGAAGGATTTTGAAGGAAACTTGTGTTGCTCCAGGATAGCGCTTGCTTATAATTTATAGCCTATTGCACAAATAATTTTTACAGCAACCTACAGCAAGTTTTTTGTCTCTGTAAAGCTATGTTGCTATCAGTTATAGGTACAACAAAATCAACTATTTTCGGTATACTTTAGGTCTTGTAACAAACTCATACTTCATAGATTCTAACTCTAACCTGTATAATTACTTTGGAAAGTGTAAGCTCTTTCATATGATTATAACGGTTTCCAGTTTTACTTTAGCATGTTTTGAGAAAAGGGAGAATAATGAAATAAATGGCATTTTAAGAGTAAAAATGGGCTGTGTCATTAAAACTTTAACATTTTCAGTTCAATAGATAACAGTAGTGTTGAGTGGAAACATTAAGCTTCTTGATGCATCAGTTTCACTTAAATGAGAACAGTCCTTTGCCAGATATTGCTCCTGAAAGAAGGAAAAGTAGCGTGAAAATAGTGAAAAAATCCCAACCCACCTCTGTATGCTAAATAGTATAACAATACAAATGAATGGAGGTTGGGCTACACCCACACACCCGTTTCCAATCCCTTTCATTTACTCTATTATCTATGATATATGCAAGCAGCTCCAGCCCCTCCCATGCATGTAGATTGAAAGGTGTGGCATTCCATGAGTGGCAGCAAGAAGACCATGTGAGAAAGAAGCTTCACTTTTTCTTTACTAATCAGCAATATATGATAAACTTGCTGACAAAAAAAGTTGCTGCCTTTGTATATTTGAGATAGTATAGGTACTTTAGTACCTATAACCCAGGAAGTTGTTGCTCTAGCGCTGCACAAACGAGTGACCTCAACAATTTCAAGTAAGTATAACTCTTCATCAAGTAAGATTTAGAGAAATCTGTTCATAATTGTTGAAAGCCATGTTCTAATCTACTGAAAAATGCTACCAGCTATCTCTAAAGTGCCAACACAACGGAACTTGGCCCAAATACTCGATTTTCCTTTCTTGAAGCTTCTGTACCTAGCACTTGTATTTGAGCAACACAAAACAGTTAAGAAAGACTTTTGCACATCAAAAAGAAAGATCTAGGAGCTTAGAACACGCTGTGCTAAAGTTATTGTTTATTAAAAACAAATTTCAGTTGTACAGAATGAATGAATAAATGAATGACAGACACACAACAACTACCTATACCTCGCGTAGGCGAGGCCAATGAACTTGCAATGGAGCCATGTCTATATTCTTCCTTTATTTTAGCTATCTCATGTTTATTTTATCATTTGGCTCCTCAAAATTAGAATGTTGGTAATGCATCACTTTATTTCATGTGTCTCAAACAAAATTTTTTTTGAGGTACTAAGAGTATTTTAAAACAACTGCTAATGGGTGGAAGACCCGGGATAGGTTATAGACTTTCTGTTGATGGGGCCCTTTAGGCACTAGAACGTCCAGTTTTTGAGATAGGCGTTTAGAAGCAAAACACAGCAAATTTGCTTTATTTGTGTGTAAAACACCACCAAAGTGACGCACAGGACTGCTTCGAGGCGGAAGACCTGGAGGACGGCTTGTAGAATTGGTCTACCTTGCTTATCATGATGTATTTAGAAATGTGTTTGAGATACAGATGTCGAAATGCAAAACAAAAATTTTGCCATCATTTTCATGAAGATGTGATGTTTTGTAAAGTAGACACACTAGTCTATCACAGTTTTTATTGAAGCACTATTCTAGAGCAATAATAACGCAACATAAAATCTTCGAAAAAGGCTTTTATCAGGTAGAGACAGTAGAAAATATCAGCTCAGACAGCAAATTGCCTAATTTTTGGGCTGTGTAAAAAGGGAAGGGAGCATCAGAATTATCCCGTTGCTAGGCTACAATATAAACTCAATGGGAATAATAAAACTGCAATCGGAAGTTTCCTATCCCTGAACTCTAATATCTTTGG